CTTCATCAACCAAGTCAAACTCTTCCTTTATCCTGAGTATGTCAAGGAAGTCACACAAAACACAGGAAAAATATATTAGAGTGTTCCTTTCCCATTTGTTCTTTATGTCTGGTCATTCTTCAAAGACTTACAACCAAGAAAAATGCAGATTACAGTGTGATGCTTAGATTCCTCTCTCTGTTTCTTTCTCTACCTCCACCTCATGATCATGGGTATGGTCACAAGCATGGAATATATTGATGTGTCTGAGAGAATGACCTTGCCTGTAAGCACAATCACAGAGGATGTGAATGACACACAGGAATTTATAAATCATGAATGAGTTGCTATGTCCATATACTATGAGTCTTTAACACAGAAAAAATGTAGCTTTTCGTGATTTAAAACCTGTGAATTTGGGGTTTCTGTCACAGAATCACAGAATCCCAGAACGTCAGGGACTGGAAGGGACCTCCAAAGCTCATCCAGTCCAATCCCCCTGCCGGCGCAGGAACACCCAGATGAGGTTACACAGGAAGGCGTCCAGGCGGGTTTTGAATGTCTGCAGAGAAGGAGACTCCACAACCTCTCTGGGCAGCCTGGCCCAGGGCTCTGTCACCCTCACTGAGAAGAAGTTTCTTCTCCAATTGAAGTGGAACCTCCTGTGTTCCAGTTTGTGTCCGTTACCCCTTGTCCTATCATTGTTTGTCACCGAGAAGAGCCTGGCTCCATCCTCGTGACACTCACCCTTTAAATATTGATAAACATGAATGAGGTCTCCCCTCAGTCTCCTCTTCTGCAAACTAAAGAGCCCCAGCTCCCTCAGCTGCTCCTCAGAAGGGAGATGCTCCACTCCCTTGATCATCTTTGTAGCCCTACGCTGGACTCTCTCCAGCAGTTCCCTGTCCTTCTTGAACTGAGGGGCCCAGAACTGGACGCAATATTCCAGATGTGGTCTCACCAGGGCAGAGTAGAGGGGGAGGAGAACCTCTCTCGCAGATATTTAGCTCATTCTGGTAAAATGTTGTCCAGAATTATAGTGTTGATCGTAATGTTTTTTTCATGTGCTATGGATTTGCTTGAATCACAAATATTTGATTATTATTTTGCTAGATTTTGAGTGATGCACCTTCCTGATGCCCTTCACTGGTATGTTCTCATGCATTTTCTTGACATTTTCTTCCTCTACCAAACTTCCCAATAGTTGGCAATTCTGTAGGGTAATATCTTGCAAAGGTCTGTATCATTCTGTATATTGGCCATAATGCAGTTTACTGTATGCTCCTTGGTATACGTTATTATAAGGATTTTAAAAAGGGGTAACAAGGGAGTTTGAGGGGCTTTAGACAGATGGTCCTACCCCAGTGGTGCAGGGTGCTGGCACAGTGGTGCTGTAATGTTTAACAGCTTTATACTTACTATGTGCTTTTGACTTATTTAATACAAACGTTTCTAGTGATAGGGCATACTTAATTTTTTTTCTTATTTCTTTGTCTAAGTGTTAGGATGATCAAGAATTGATTCACCTAGCTCTGGTATGTTTGCATAACTCTTCCTGCTGGTTCTTTGCATGGAAAAACTTGACAAACTTGGCTGTGTATCTCACTCTGCATGCTCTGTTTGCATGAATGCAG